ATATATCATGAAAAAGGGATAGGTGTAAAAAGTAAAAAACATATGGGCCAACCAAGGCTATACTTGAAATTCATTCATTGCAGACCTGATATTGTACAATTCTCCAAATTATTAAAATCCTTAAACCTTCTTAAAATGCACCTTAATTATTTTTTACATCTTAGTTCCACACTACAAAACCATACATATCATCAAAGATGTCATCATCAGATGTAAAAAAATATAAGGCTCATCCAAGGTGTTACCTAAAATTTGTAAATTCAGACCTGATATTGTACAATTCTTCAACTTTTGAACTTGTTAGAATCCTTAAACCTTATTAAAATTCAACTATATTTTATATCTTAGTTCTATACCATGAAACCATAACTATCATCAAAGAGGAACAGATGTGAAAAACAAAAGAGTCGTCCAAGGTCATACCTGAAATTCGAATTTTCAGACCTGATATTGTACAATTCTTCAAATTTTGAACTTGTTAGAATCCGTAAACCTTCTTAAAATTCAACTATATTTTACATCTTAGTTCTATACCATAAAACCATAACTATCATCAAAGAGGAACAGATGAACAAAACGAGCCATCCAAGGTCTTACCTGAAATTCGTAAATTCAGACCTGATATTGTACAATTTTCAAATTTTGAACTTGTTAAATTCCTTAAACCTTCTTAAAATTCACCTGAATTATATTTTACATCTTAGTTCCACAGTATAAAATCATAAATATCATCAAAGAGGAACAGATGTAGAAAACAAAAGGGTCGTCCCAAGGTCATACCTGAAATTCGAAAATTCAGACCTGGTTTTGTACAATTCTTCAAATATTGCACTTGTTAAAATCCTTAAACCTTCTTAAAATTCATCTATTAATTATATTTTACATCTTAGTTCCACACTATAAAACCATAAATATCATAAAAGCAGGAAAGGTGTAAAAAAGATAATTGTCGTCCAAGGTCATACCTGAAATTCATAAATTCAGACCTGATATTGTACAATTCTTCAAATTTTGGACTCATTCAAAATCCTTAAACCTTCTTCAAATCCATCTTAATTATTTTTTTACTTATTAATTTCACACTACAAAACCATACATATCTTCAAAGAGGGACAAATATAAAAAATCTAAGGCTCATCCAAGGTCTTCTTAAAATTTTGGACTTGTTGAAATCCTTAAACCTTCTTAAAAACCATCTAAATTATTTTGTACATCTTAGTCCCATACTACAAAACCATAAATATCATCAAAGAGGGACAGATGTAAAAAATCTAAGGCTCATCCGAGGTCTTACCTAAAATTCGAAAATTCAGACCTGATATTGTACAATTCTTCGAATTTTGAACTTGTTTAAAACTTTAAACTTCCTTAAGACCCATTTTAATTATTTTTTACATCTTAGTTCCATACTTCAAAACCATATTTATCATCAAAGAGGGATAGATCTAGAAACCATAGGCATCAGCTATAGTCATACACAAAATCACCCCTCTCAAAAATGTCAAATTTTTCAAAAAGTCAATTTTTTCCTCAGCTCCTACTAATTCAATTAGTTTGAAACTTTCAGGGCTTATAGTCCTGCTACTGGGCGCTTCACATGAATTTTTCCAATGTCTTCCAGTGTCTGATTGAAAACTGAGGCTCTAAATAGTAAGAAAATGGGTCACGAATTTGCCCCCTGGGGTACATACTTTGTACTATTTTTCAAATTCTGTAGGAGTGATTGGCATTATTTATTTTGCAAATGATTCATATATATAATGTTTATATATGTAACTTACAAACATCAAGATATCTAAAGTTATTGAGAATGAAAAAATTATTTTCCCAGGGTGGGGTGTTTTTGGGGGGTGGGGGGCTAACCCCTGCAAAAAAAGAATTATGTACCACTCTGTGAGGCTATCACCTAGGTAGAATTTTCATCCAAGACTTCCCTCTAACTGAAAATGCTGCCAAACCAACTATACTCCATTTATTAAGAATTTTCCTCCTCGCTCTTAGAGTACTAGAAAATCTAAGCGTTTGTAGATTCAAAATAATACTTTTTATAAAAACCAGCGAATTCGGGAGTCAAAATCTTCAATATCATTCCTAATTTTTGTTACATAAATGATATACTTAAATACCGATAATAGTTGCATTTTTAACATCCTCTGTTGTTAGATCACTTCTATATTAAACTTGTATCATTCAGATAAACACTTTTCTCGTTAGGCTAATGGATCTATGTCTAGATTGTCATCATGGTAATGACTTTTATGCCTAGAACACATTATGTGACAAGGCACATATGCACATTTCTGCTGACAGTCAAATTGCATAAAAATACAATATTTCATATGTTGCACTGTACTGTTTACACAATAAGCCGAGATGTTATCTAGAGGCTTCTCCTTAACATTTAAGGGCCTTTTGATTAAACACAGACCTATAATTCAAACTTGTGTCAAATGTAAAATATTTCCCTTGTCTTTTAACAGGGATAATCCTGCTAATGATATTTTATAAAAGGTTTGGCACATTTCATTTACGAGGATCAATTTACAACAAACCGCTCCCAGGAGTTGCTATGATTCACTTAGTCTTCAATTGTGTTATATTATTGCTGAAATTAATGGGATGATTTACGACTAATACAACTTAATTGTTTCAATTTATTTTATCAACTGTATAATTGAAAGAATAAATAACCAATTGTATAAATTATTAATTTGTAATTTCTTGTTATAACTTTCAATGGTGAAAATAAATAATAATTACATTTTATTTGAAGAGCTCTTGTAAATGCAATTAATTACGGGAATTAATTAGGGCAATTAATTAGGGGAATCACCTCATAAATAGTTGTAATTTCATTTATTTGGCAACTTGATTCATGTAACATAAAGTGGTTAGTTTTGTCTTCTTTTTCAAGTGTGTTCTTTCTGGTTTCTCTGAAATCACCATCAACCCTGATCATGGTCAGTTTGATACATAATTAGCAGTTACTTTCCAGAGTGAAAATGAAAAATGAAAAAATTCTGTTGTTTGGAGATGATAAGAGCTTTTTATCCAGTACTCTCCTATTCCCTAACATGGAAAATGTTGTATTCTGTTTGATTATGAAGCATAACTTTGTCATGTTCATTGACATTTTGATATTAAAAAACATATGCACTTGAACGTAAAGTAATCTTTAGACCTAACAACCAGCTTTAACATTTTTTATTGGTGTTTTTTTTATATCTCAAATGTTTCAGGGGTTATTCACCCTCTTACAGGTTATGCATTTACATTCTAAAGAGCTTAGAAATATCTCATTACCATTTCATATTTCATCAAATGATGGATGATACATTACTTAACAAATTGCAATGGCATACCATCCCATAATGTGTCTGCACCCATATCATATAATACTTATTCTTTATACAATATATTTCAGTGTGAAAAGTTAATACTTATACTTTCTGTTAATGTTAGTAGTTTTTGCTTTCTTTAAAGAGATCGGGTCTCCTAAAAACACAATGAGAGTAACCTCTGATTTTTTAGTGTTATTTGATTTAAAACAACTTTGTTTATCAACTTATCAATTCTAAGGCTTGAATTAATTCTTTAACAGTATCAATTCGATGATTGTTCCTAGCCATGAATTTCCACTTACATCAATAGAAATTCAAATTTAAATTTAAAAAATGAAAAAGTCTGATTAGCTTTTTCCTTCAGATTATTTTGGCTCAGAGAAGCCATATTTATTAGTTCTAAGGGGTTACAATAAAAATCCCCAAAAAAACATTGTATTCTGTTTTCGACTTATTGTGTTCAATTCTGACAGTTGGTTGTTCTTTTGGTTGTCCTGTTGATATCCTCAATATATTGATGATATTGTGCTTATAATTTGGTCGCAAGATATATCTAAGGAATGATGGTATATTAGCAATTATATTGGGACATTGCTGATTGTCCAGAATAGAAATCTGGACGACTCGATCTCTTTAAGGGAACTTATCAAAATATAATTAACTGCTATCATCAGACCCTAAGATTCCCACACGCCAGGACGCCAGCGGCGCCTTGTTTTAGCGGCTGGCGTGTTTCCTCTCAAAATACAAGTCTCCCTGGCGTATTAAAAAACGACCTATAAGCTTACCCTGATTGACTGTCAGCTGTTGACTGTATTCATCAATATTGGTCGCGGCAATATCATGAATAAAAAGTTTGAAACTAACTTTGTTTTGATTTTTTTTCCGTGGATGCCGATCCAAACATATGTAAGTAAGCCGCATTCCAATTGGTTTAAATTTAAAAATATGCAATACTTCCGCTCGCAATAACCAATCAAAAACCGTCTCTCTCGCCTACTAAATTGTGGGATGGATATCGAGCCAAAACACGTAAGTAAACCGCGATCTCATTGGCTTAAATTTACATATCTGTCTAACTTCCGGTGGCAACAACTAATCAGAATTCGCCTCTCTTGTACCTTTGTCAGTGTTTTTTCGAAATTTTACTTTTGATATATTTGAAATATTCGTATTTCTCTCAATTTTTTCGGAAACCACTCATATATATGATATGGAAAAGACCAAAAAGCGGAAGTATCTACCCAAATGGGAATTTGGAAGACCATGGTTAGCTCACAGAGGCGATAAAATGTTTTAGGCGATAAAATGTTTTGCGTTACTTGCGAGAAAGTGTCCAAATTTGCCCCAAATAGTGTGAACATCAAAAAGAATGCGTTCATTGTGGGATCAAATTGTAATTCACAGAGTTCAGTTGGCTGATTTTTGGACTTGTAACTTTAAAATTTACAAGTCCTTATTTGGCTTGTATCTTTTTGGATGGACTTGAAAATTTTGACTTGTACCAATTATTCTGAATCTTAGGGTCTGGCTATCATTGAAATAAACGATGTCACAAATTTTAAAAACACTTCTTATAATGGAGATTTAGATTTAGTACAAGTAACTTTTTTATATGAGGAAGAGTAATCATTTTCTCTTTTCCATTTTTACTTTCAGATGTCCAGGGTGTATTGCAAAGTGAGACAACGCCTAACGTTACGAGTCCAAGATCACCCGATTTACAGATCAAACCTCCAGATATTGAAGCGACAAGTGTTCCACCAATAAAAAAACAAAAACAATATGATCAAATAACTGAATCAAATGAGAGTATTCCATACAGAAATCCGATAACATACAGTTACATGAGAAAAAAGGTTGTGCGAGAATATCAAGGTATGTCCGATCTGCCACTTGACTACTCTCCGTCCTGTAGTCATACAAGCCCCGATACAGGACCATTGAAAAAGCGTATTTACCATCAACCATTGGGAAATACTGAAGATGCTGTGATAAAACCAATTGTGGCACAACAACCAACCCTCCCAGACATTGGAATCAAAAAGGAAATCATTGAAATTGCTGAATTTACACCCCCAAGTCCAAGGAAAGACATCAAGCCAAAATCAGAAATGATACTAGGATCGCCTTCATCCTCTATCAACTCGCCATCTTCTACAGTGAATTTACACCAAGTGGGAAGCTCAAGTGCCAGCCCTCAAAGAATCGGTGAGAACCCAAGAGAACATTCAACATTGTTGAATTACTATACACAACAAAAAATGAGTCCTATGGATCTTCGTGATGGAATACCAATGACCAATTCACCGCAGGGTTCAAAACAGTCTCAATATCTCTCCCCAGAAAGTTCTAATACGATGAACAGCCAATCAAATCAACCAGAGAGGAGTCGACTGCAGGATTTAGATGATGCGGTTCAGCGTGCATCACAGGAATTGGTCAAAGAGTTCCCAAGTTTTTCAAAAGGTGAGTACAGAATGGTTATTTCATATTTAAACAAATAGTGAAATCCCATAAAATATTTAAAGGGGACTTGCTAGATGGCTTATAACTAATTTTAAAGTTACGAAAAGAGATCCCAAAATTTAAGGAAGCATAAATTATTATAATAATAATAATAAATGGTTTTCTCCATTTAAAACTATGGTCTACAATAGACTTCCTAAATGTCCGTCAGTTAGGATTTTCTAACAGAAGCCAAGATTTAAGTAGTCTTGGTTCTTACACCTAAATATCTGTAGGCTCAAAATAATTTATTTTAGATAATGAACTGTTTATATCATTAGAGAATGGAGTGTCGGGTCTGAAGATTTTGTATTTGATGATATAATCCAGCGCTTGCATTAGGTTAGAAAGGACGCAATTTTTTTTAAAAAGTGTGTCCTTTGAAAAAAAAGTGTGTCCCCTATTTCTAGCCTGTTTTGAGGTATAACTTTATTTTAAAAGCATTTTTTACCAAAACACCTTTCAGTTTTTGATTTCTTGTCGCGAATTTAAAACGGAAGTTCGTTCATTCGACAATGAATACATTTTATTTCATGAATAACCTAATATTTGTTTCTGAATAGGAAAAACTGTGGCGTGTCATGGTTTCAAATCTAAAAATAAACAAAGTCGAAAAAATTCGAGAGAATCATGATTATTTGTAAATATTCAACATGTTGAGCCTTATTTACGATTCAAATAAAGGTGAGAGATCATAATTATTTGTTTTTGTTAGGTATCGTTGTAAACACATTGTAGTATTGACCTAAAAAAATTTTGCGTCCAAAAAACGGAAATATTTTCAATTTTTGCGTCCTCCAAATTATTTTTGAGTCCTTAACATGTACGGGACGCCGTTAATGCAAGCCCTGTATAATCTTTTTAGTATAAATATGTTTTCATTTTTTTTTTATTTTAAGCTGATATGTCTTCAATTATAAAAGTAAAGTAATTTACAGCTCAAGAATTATTTCCAATATGGCTGCTCAGTCCAGAATGGTTTTATATTGGCTACTCAATACAAAATGGCCACTATTATGCATTGCAACTCTGTTTTGTATAACCTCATAAAGTTCTATGCCTAACATGTGTTGCATATTTTTAATGATGTGCTCTAGAGGTTCAAGCATTTTAGCATAATAGTAGTTATTTCTATCAAATGATAAATGTGATATGATGAAATATGTTTTGTTCAGCTGGATTTGCTACTTGGTGGCATTCCTTGTTTTAGTGCTATAGTATTATCATCTTGTGATGTTGGACTTGCATGCATCTGTGCGAGTAGGTGCTACATAAATCATCAAAATTCATGCAAAACCATTTAACATTCAACCTGAAATTTCTACAGATCTGTGCAAGAGCATTAAATTACATGGCATTTATTTTTCTCTTCAAACTGCAATATTTATCACTCTGTGTCTTGTTCTAATGATGTAATCTTCCTCATTACTTAAACAAGCAACTCCTGATTGATGGCATTTTAATTGCTTAACTCTGAGCAGAATTAGTATGTATCACAAATCAGGCAAAGTAGCTTATAAGATGAGGTAGCACAAAATAGAGGTGCAACCTGAATCCCAGGAATATAATATAACCTTATATACTAAGTTTTTATGTCACAACCAGAGATGGTGACATCCAGAAGTGGTGACATATTGTTATATAGTCTCATACTTTTTTGTGGCAGCGATTGGTGTTTGCCTGTTGGTATTTGACATTTGGCATTTGGTGTCTGTAACACATGGCAGGTGGTGACATTTTGCATGTTAATGCATTGTTTACTATATGTAGGGCATTCTATGCAGGCCTGTAGCCAGGATTTGTCAAGGGGGTTCACTTTTTAAAAAATTTGAGGGGGAAAAATGGCCAAAATCAGAATGGTGTAAAAAAACTCCATGATTTTGAAAGAATTTTTGGCTGGGGGAGGGGGAGGGGGTGGGTCGAATCCCCCCAGAACTCCCGCTGACTACGGGCTCCTATGTATAGAAATTATTAAGTTAAATAAACACATTCTCTCCATATGACTAAATGGATGGATTAATGATAGATATATAACACAAGAAACATGATTTGAAATAGAGTGCATCAGAATGAAACCATAAAAACAAAAACTACTCTCATTTCAGCTTGTTCATTAATGATGATACGTATTAACCTAATTTTTTGTGGATATTTTTGTCCACGCGCAAAAACACCCTGAGTTGATCTTAAATGTGACTGAACTCTTTAAGTAGAATCAATTTGCGAGTGAAAATGTCAATTACAACTTATGCAAAGCATATCCCCATACTTAGCTGTCACTGGTTTAGAAATAAAATCGGGTAATGATCACTTGCAGACAGTTTAATTTGTCATTAAATTCAGGAAAATTTTAATTCTGTATGATTTAAAAGTTGTTTTCTGATGATGCATTATGCCTTAATATGTACTTTCTTCAAATATTATAGATCAGGTTTGCATGAGATTTGCATGTATTTGTCACAAAGTCACCGTTGTATTTGTCATAAGTCAGCATCATATTTTTCGTAAGTCAGCATTATATTTTTCATAAGTCAGCATTTGTATTTTTTTATGAATCAATATTGTATTTATCATAAGTCATCATTGTATTTATCATACATCATCATTATATTTTTATCATAAGTTATCATTGCCATAAGTCATCATTGTATTTATCTTAAGTCATCATTATATTTGTCATAAGTCATCATTTTATCATAGATCATCATTGTATTTGTCATAAGTCATAATTGTGTTATTTATTTATCACTATCATTGTATTTGTCATGAGTCATCATTGTATTGCCCTAAATCATCATTGTATTTGTTATAGATCATCATTGTATTTGTCATAAGTCATCATTGTATTATTTATTAATCACTATCATTGTATTTGTCATAAGCCATCATTGTATTTATAAATTAGGTCTATGTTTTTTTAAAAAAATCAAACATGGCATATTGTATACAAAGTGTCACGAAAAATTCTCTGTTTGCAAACCTTTTTGAGCTTGAATCGAATAGGTTAAGTTCAGTATTGTGATGTTTTCTAAAATTTGACCTTTTCAAGCTGTCTCCTAATTTTTCATATATTTTTTATGGTTGAACATTACCGTCCTAGTTTGTAGTTAATTTTTATGGTTTGTTATTAAATAAAAGTTGATTCTCAAGTGATGTATCACCAACCTAGCTAAACTGAGATAATGTAATTTGATTTTGCTTTTTGAAAGAGAACTTTATCTATGTGCATCAGGCTCTTATACTAAGGGTAGATAGAAATAGATTTGGAAAATGATTATCTAACATGCTTTTGTACAGTATATGTAGAACATGTCTAATTCAAACACCCCTGGGAATTAATAATAATTACATAAAAAGTCCTCGGTTAATGCAAATTTTTTTAGCGTAGTTTATTTTCCTTTGAAATTCATAGTCATGAAATTCAATCATATCAGCTACTACCAATTGCCAAGGCATTATAGGTAGTTAAGAATTTACATAATCGTAATGATGGCTATTGGTTATATCATTTTCATCTACATAGCCTTTAGCCATGATTACTGGTTGTTTGAAAGTTCATTAAGACCTGGATTATTGATGCAACATCAGTCAAGGTGACCTCAAATAAATAGATACAGACAGATACAGACAGATACAGACACCATATGATGGATTGTGCATTCTCAATTTTTAATATGAAAATGAAACTGAGAGACATAATCAGAACTTCGTAATTTCATAATTTCGTAACGTTGGAATTCATATATGAAGTATCTGTTAGTAACCCCTAGGCTAACAAGTACAAGTGTGCTATTGATGCAGATTGTTGTTGATTGTCTTTGAACTCATTTGTCTAGTTAACAGGTTAAGCCAAGTTGGCACCAACTATATCCATCTATAGATACTCATAACCCATTATGATTGAACGAATAATGAACAGGTCCTTGATATAGTCTCATTGAATCAACTACATGTTAGCCATGTTAGCAATGACTTTTCAACTCTGCATATAGTCATCTTGCTTCATCAAGCTTTGGACCGGTCCTCAGATAGAATGTAGTGATCGAGCGTGGGAACTGTTGATGGCATATTCCTGTAGTCTGCAACCTGGTATTGAAAATGATCTGTGGATGTTTTATGCATTAATCAGCAGTTTCTCTTGGTGCGATGTGTCCTTGTTGATGTTTAAGGCTTTTATAACACTACCAAAAGCGGTGACATATTGATATGGCAGGTGGTGACATTTTGCATATTAATGCCTTCTAGATCTTCTTTGGTACAGTCTTTTCAGTATGTCTTGGCCAACCTGTTTCATTAGTAACATTGTAAGGTCACTGAACAGGTGTAGGTAGTCTGTTTTCAGTCAATCTATGGTTTTACTTGGTCATGGTCTCAGTGCTTGTTCATTTTGCTGTCATGTTCACTTGTCACATGTTGCCACCATTTCACATTTTGAGCTGACACGGACATCTCTGAAAGCATTGCTGAAGCTGTCTGATATAATTAGCAAGAGAACAACATCATCCAGTGATTTAGAGTTTGCAATTACACCTTTTAAATTGATGAAGTTGTTAACCTGATTGAAGTGATCATTATTGGTATATTTTGATTTTGATTTATTAACATAAAAATGTGCAAAACATGTGAAATCTATTTTATTAATTATTGAAAATTAAAATCCTAGGGAATTATAATCATGTCAAACTACCTTGAGCATTGGGAGTGTGGTACCTCAGATTCGAAGCAATTATCATCATAACCACCATGAACATTGTTGAAATCAATACAGTGACTTCTATTAAATATTTTCATCAAGGAGGGTTGGGTCCCAGAATGCAATCTCGATGTTTTCTAACAATGAATCTGATCTTTAAGGATTCGCTGATTTTCACTTCAAATTTTAAATCGTGAGTTTCAAGACATGTGAGAAGCAATCAAGATATTAGCTTAAATCTTTTGGATTGATGATTATGAACATCTTG